CCTGTATTTGATTGTGTTTATCTGCAGTTAGTTACACGGATTCAGTTATTGGATGAAATCGGATAGGGATGAACGGGTTTAAGAGTTTTAAGAGTTTAAGAGTTTTTAAGAGTTTTAGTCAAATGCATTATAATATAGTATAGATAGGTTTGTTCCACGATATTCATGTATGTTTCATATAAAGGTCCTACCAAACATGAAACAGTGATCCATGTTATATTATGTCATGTCCAATATATTGAGCACACTCATATAGTTGGAAATAATACAGATTTCCATTAAAAAAATTATGTGCTTTTATAATTGAAACATCCTATATTTAGTAATACTTAGGGGTTGTTTACCAAATGTTTACTCGGGTAAGTGCTTACTAAGTCATATTCCCTTACCGAATGAATATGACAAGGACCAAGAATCTTACCTGGTAAGAGTGAAGACACAGACCGAGAGTCTTACCGGGTGAGTGATGGCGATGACTCTTACCACAATTAGCGCTTACCGGGTAAATCGTTACATACGATATCGTTTTGGTAGACTAAAATCTTACCCGACTAGTAAGCGATAGAGCTGAATATTTTACCATTAAGCATTTACCGAGTAAATGTTTAGGTAAACGACCCCTTATATACAGTAATGATCTAGAAAATAAGAGTAGATTCACATGTAATAGAAATAAATGGGTCTACTTCAAGCTTAAATTCAAGGACTAATTTTACTGCAAAGTAACAACCGAATTTAGCTGCATCAAATCTTTTAAGACTCATTACAATAAAATTGGGTTTATATTTTATAGTACGCCTTCAATTTACAACCGTTCTAATAGACGTTTTTATAGGACCAAAAAATAAAGTGTCATATCTAAAGGCGTTGTAATAAATTTATATAACGTTTTTTGACGTCTTAATATGTTTTTTATGACACTTTTAATATAAAGCCTCCCATTAACAATTTTGTAGAATGTTATTTGAAAAATTGTCATATAAAAAAAGTGTCTTATAAAAATTGAGTTTATAGGATATTATCTAAAAAATGTCATATAAAGTTGCTAATGCGACGGTTTGTATTAAAAATGTCCTTAAAAACTTGTTAAGACGTCAAAAAACGTCATATAAACTTATTATAACGTCTTTAGATATGACGTTTTATGTTCTGGTTCTATAAATTAAGTCATATAAAACGGTCTATTGAAATACTTAGAAATTGAGGACATCCTATAAACCAAAATTTAATTTAGTGAATGATATTTAAATTATAAACCATTAAAATCACCCGATAAAATTTAGTCGATATATTTGCAAACCCGTGTTTTAATTTTTCCTTAAATAAATATACATCATAAATTTTAATTTTTGATGTTTATTACACAAAAATTCCAAATATACATTAATCTTGAATTTCTTTTAATTTAAAAACATAAATTTTAATTATTGTCATTTTATTTTATAATGAAAATATCCTAGTTTTGTTTTTAAATCATACAAAACAGATCTTTAAAACAACTTAGAATCAAAAAGTAGGTCGAACAACCAAATGGTTTTTAGCCTAACGGTATCGTAGTCTTTGGCCTCTTACGAAGTCAGAGATTCAAACCTCACCAAAAATAAATAGAATGTTTGAATTTATTTGTTACATTTATCGTATACAAAAATTATAAAAACATGTTAAATATGTTCATCTAATTATGGTTTCACATATGAAAATCTATATCTTAAAAAAAAAAACAAATAAAACCCATTAACCCTTAAAAAAGTAGAAGTCCACCCAAGGGGTTGACCCATGAAAGCTTATTAGAATCTTGAAAATTGGAACGTTTGAACCAAAGAATCTTCCTAACTTTATCCTCCCATTTTCTTGTTGCATTCATCTTTGCCCTTCTTCCACGTTGCATTTTTGTAATTAAGGCTGTCACAAGAATACAAATTATCCCCACTTTTTGTACTTTATGCATCACTATTTGTATACACCCATAAATAACAACATATTTAAAAACAAAGTAACATTTATCAATCACAAGGGTGATGCCTGATTGGTTTGAACTTAGAATCCAAATGTCAAAAGTGTCGGAAAGTCTCAGGTTCAAATCTAGATATTTTTTTATTAATTTTTGTGGTTTTGAGAGATTGAAATAGCCTGATGGTGCGTGAATGGTTTTAATTAAAATGTCTCATTGGATCCGACTATGAGTTTTAGATTTAGAAAAGTTTTCTAATTAATTTTATAACCAAATTTTTGATTTTTCCGTGGCGTTTAAGGTTCAAATTGCATTAAAATCCCACAATGATTATTAGGAAGTTTGTATAGTTTTCATTAAAGCATCTTCAATAATTGTAGAAAAATAGAGATTTGAGTATATTTTTTCTCCAACAGCTATGATATAACGTATGCTAAAAGCATCTCCAACAAATATACTAAAATAAAGATTTTGGAAATTTATCGTATATTTTTGCTCCAACAGCTATATTATATTGTATGCTAAAATAGAGAAAGAGGGTGAAAATTTCTAAAACTCCATATTTAAAAGAGATAAATAATATTTAATTATTTCTCATTAATAGTAGACATTTGAATTAAATACTTAGGAGAGAGAAATAATCTTTAATTAAATGTATTTAATTTTTTGATAATATAATTAATGATAAAATATTATTTTACATGTATTTCTTTTACAATATAATTATTTCACATCGTGAAACTTTCTGTAATATTTTTATGTGTATTTTTTGTTTCAATGTATAAACCCAAAAACAAAGTTTCAAGTATGTTTTTTTTACTTTACAGCATAAACACAAATATATGTGAAATAATATTTTAAATTGTAATATTTAATTAAAAATATATAAAATAATAATAACTTGTATATCATGCAATAAAATTTGTATTGCGTTTTATTTACTCATAGAATTTGTATAAAAACTCCAAATCTTAAAGAAAACCAAATTAACAGCCATGAACAGGTTTTTCGGTTACAACATGTTTTTCTTTCTCTCTCTCCTCCACGGTGTTTTTCCCGCCAGAATCGTTCCTCCGACATCACCACCGGAATCCACCGTCAAACACATCTCCGGTAATGACACGTGGCACAGTTTCGCCAAGTTCATGGACGCCGGCAAGGGTGCTAACTTCTCCGGAATATCTGAGCTCAAAAACTACTTCCACCGATTTGGTTACATCGATGACGTTAACAACTTTACAGACACCTTCGATGAAACCCTAGAAACCGCCGTGTTAAATTACCAGGAGAGGCTCGGCTTACCGATCACCGGAGAACTCGATTCCGATACCGTCACTCAGATCATGTTACCGCGGTGTGGCGTCTCCGACGGTCTCAACCGGAAGAAACATAAAATCCACGTGAATAAACATTATGCCTTTTTTTCCGGCGAGCCGAGGTGGAGGAAACCGGCAAATTCGGAGACTATGACGCTAACTTACGCTTTTTCGAACAATCATATGATTGATTACATTAGTTACTCCGACATACGAGCTGTTTTCTTGCGGTCCTTCTCCCGGTGGTCGTCTACGATTCCGGTGAACTTCGCGGAGGCGGATGATTACCGGAAAGCAGACATAAAGATAGCGTTTTACCAAGGGGATCACGGCGACGGAGAGCCGTTCGACGGCGTTTTAGGTGTGTTGGCTCACGCTTTCTCGCCGGAAAACGGTAGGCTCCACTTTGATAAAGCTGAAACATGGGCCGTTGATTTCAAATCAAGTAAATCAAATCTGGCCGTTGATTTGGAATCAGTTGCGACTCATGAAATCGGGCATATTCTCGGGTTGGCCCATTCTTCGGTTAAGGAGTCGATCATGTACCCGAGTTTGGGTCCGAGAATTAAGAAAGTGGATCTAAAAATTGATGACGTCGAGGGGATCCAGGCGTTATACGGGTCAAACCCGAATTTTAGGTACACACCATCTATGGAATCGGATATCTCATCGGGTACCCGAACCGGGAGAGGAAGATGGTTTAAGAGGGTGACTTCATTGGTATTACTTATGGGTTTTTTATTTTGATGATCTATTTAATCAATTAATTTAATTTTTTAATTTATTTCAAAAATACAGACATTTGTTTTATGGGAAAATTGCATCAAAATGAAACAAAGTTTAAGTTGATTCTATTTTAGGAAACTAACTTTTAAAATCATTATTTAAGGGTGTAAAACAAATTTTTTATTTATTTAACGGTCTGCTTAACCTGTTAACTTACTAAAGATGATGTGGCTACATTATCTGCCAACTAAGCTGGAGACAAGATTCAACCAAACACATCTTAAGCTAAACCAGTGCTGACGAATAACCAACCCGTAATGAATAGGGAGAAAGTATAATAATGCTATGAATGACCCAGTAGCGAATCTTGGTAATAATATCTGCAAAAGAACGTTCTCCTATGCTTCTAGACATGTTGGCCTCCACATATTCTTGTACAGTGAAAAGGGGAAGACATCATCTCTGTGGAGAAATGAGCTACAAAAAATTTGAACCTGTTTAGAACAAAAACAATCGACCGATGTATCATATGCATCTTAATAAAATTTATCATATGCATCTTAATTTCATATGAACCATATGTATACTTGATCATGTCTATCTCATCTTATTTGAATTAATAATTATCTGTTTATGAACAATTGTGAAACAGATATATCATATGCAGCTTATTTTCATATGCAAGATGATATACTTGATCATATGCATTTTATTCTCATATGAAACATCATATACCTTATCATATGCATCTTATTTTCATATGAAACAGATGTATACTTGATCATGTCATTTTAATCAAATTAACAATTTTCCGTCTATGAACAATTGTGAAACAACTATTCATCAGAATTGTTTTTTCCATATCAGATCTATTACAATTTTTCGGTTTCATATCTTATCAGATTCATATTTTCATAAGAACTACCAACACGCATCTTCAATGAACAAAACGGTTTGCACTAAGTTAGTTCCTTTTCATTTTTTCTTTATATTTATATGACTTTTTTCAACTCAAACTGAACTTTCACAAATAACGTATTTGATCATCCAAAAAAATCCCGCCTTCGGTTTTTTTTACGGAATGTTGATTTCATGTATCTATTCACTTCCCAAACTTTGATTTCATTACTAGGAGCAATTTCATGTTTTTATGCTATCTCGAAGGTCTGATTTAGGGCTGTTTTCCATCCCCTGTTAATGTAAAAACTAAACAGCACAAATTGCATTCTTTTATCGTATTCTTTCAAAATGAAAGAAGATTTCGAAGTTACTAACTACTACAATTTCTTATATGATGAATCTGAAATTTCTAAACCCTAAACTCTTCGTCGGAAATTTTGAATGTTTTCCGCCATTTCTTTTTCGATATGCAATTGATTTCATAGTGAATCTTTTTGAAACCGCCTTCAGTGTATTTGCATCGTTGATAATGATCTCATTTGTGATTACACCGACGAAATCAGAATCAATCCCGAGAAGTTAACCCAATGACTTCGTAGACGCCTGTTTCCTTCCAGGGTCCAAATCATATGATGTCCTCCATATTTTATATTTCTAATCCAAGCGTATCCTTCTATTGAGTAGCTAATTTTAAAAATGCCGTTGGTTCATCTCCAACCGTTGATTAAATGATTGTATGGTATATATTGGGTTGCAACAATATGAAGGGTTTCATATGATATCCCATATATATAGAGAGAGATTTGGGATCAGGTGAGACCAAAGGTTTTTTGTGAGATCCGTAAGACCAATTCTCAATCTTTGGATTAGATCTACAATATGAAATTCATAATCACAAAAATTGTCACGAGACTTCTCAATAATCACAAAATTGCCACCGTGCAACTTTAGACCATTAGTTTATAAAGTTGATTAATGAACATAAATTGATTTTACGGGTCTCACAAAAAACTCTTGGTCTCACATGAACCCAACCCTATATATATAATTCTGTTGAAGTTATATGAAGTTATATATATTAGCGGTAAGTTGAATAGGGTTGAGTTAGGCTAACCAACTTCAACCTTTTTAAATGACGGTTTGGTGATTTGGCAGGTTTAATGGATTAAATTTAATTGAGTTGTTAGCGGGTTGGATTGCTTCGGTTCAACAATCCGATGGTTTTTTATACATCCCTAGTTTGGATGGACGATTGTGATTAAACGGGTCGGTTATCAGTTTGGGTTAGATTTATCCGGACAACAAATAACCGAAGCATATGACCCGACAAAGGTTCGCTTGCCCTAAAACCCTGAACCCTAGAAAACAATCAATTGGATTGGATTATCGACATTTTTCATCAGATCTCCGATCTCGCGATATTGGCTATGGCTTCAAGATGCAACAGATTCATGAACAAAGCTTCAATTTCAAATCTCAAATCCGCTTTTAAGTCGGCTTCCATGCCCAAATCCGCGCCTTCGTCCCCAAAATTCCCTCTTCCAACCAGGTCCAATACCTCACCAGTTCCTCGATTCTCTCTGTCAAGGTGTGTATTTTCTTCTTAAAAACAAGATATTTTTATGTTAATCTAAGGTTTATAACTGATGTGAGTACGGTCGATTAAGAGGTTTAATTAGGGTTTTGTATGTGAATTATAATCTACTTTGCAAGAAAGAAATGTGAAAATAGGAGTCGAATTGAGTGGGAAATGATACTGTTTGATGATGTTTATGTAGACAATAATATACGTGGAGTTCAGAAAGGGGTGTTTGATTGTTGAATGTTGGGAGCATAAAACACTACTACATAAGAAGTGTGAATGACTAAAAATGTACGCTTCATCACTGTACTTTGAATCCTTTTGTGAAGCTTGCTATCTTGAAATTAGAAAATTGGAAGTGTTTGTTCTATGAAGCATATGGTATTAATAATGGTACAGGTTAATTTTGGAAAAATAGTATAAGAGATACTAATCCCATGATATATGAAGATAAGAAAACTTAAAAAGAATTCTTGGTTCAAATGATTTAACACTCAACAATTATGCAAATGAAATGGAACTTAAAACAACTAGGAAACCCTATATGATATATCAAGATCAAGAAACTATGAAAACCTAAACAATTCCTGATTCAAATGATCTAACAATGAAACTTATAGTTAACATTTGCTAAAGTCCTTGAGGGTTTTAATGAAAAATTGCTGAACCTTGTTGCTGTTAACATGTTAATATCCTATGGTTGAATATACTGTGTAAGAAACCTTTGAGAAAAGTTCTATAGCATTAACGCTGTGTTCTCAAATTTAAGAAGAAAAGAAACGAAAGGAAATGAAAAGAAAGAAACTTCTTTATTTGTGTTCTTGAGAGCAAAAAGGAAAGAAAAGAAATGGAACGGAAGAAAATAAAGTTTTATGTTCTTTGAACAGGAGTGAAAGGAAAGGAAAGATGCCAACTTTCAAATACGCCCTTATTTATTTTAGAACGGATTATAATTGATGGGTAGGTGTGTAATTTATAAATATTTAATTCTTTCCTTTCCTTTCCTTACCTTTCCTCTCATATTTGGGAGGAAAGTGCTGGGAGGAAAATCGGTCTTTTTCCTTCCTTTTTCTTTTCTTTCCCTCCCAAAAAACACTCAAGAACACCGTATTTTTTCTTTCCCCCTCCTTTCCTTCCCTTTCCTTTGTAAAAAGGGACTCGAGAACAAAGTGTTGGTAGATGAAAGATGTTGATGAGTTTGCAATGATGTCCCTGATAGGTGCCCAGCCGAACTTGGATGTGTTCAGTCACTGTTACCCCTACACAATGCGGTTGCTGCAGCAAGATTGACATCCTGCCTGAGCACAACTTCAAGGAGTTGCAGATCACTTTCACAGGGTACACTCTGCCGTACCTCTCCCGACCTCTAATATCTTTTTTGTTATTTGACTGTGAGTCATGACTTCTCCCATGAGATAATAAACAAGCACTGCATGCTCATTATGTATGTTGTTTGATTGTTGTAGTGCTTTTTTCTAGAGGTGATGGCTTTCATGACAACATGTTCTTTTAAATGTGCTTGACTAGAATCACATTATTACATTGATGTAAACACTTGCATGATCATGAATAGGCTGCACATGGGTTGGGTTGGACGCGTCGAAGGCATTTGAATGCCAACCCAATGTTTGCGGTTTGGAAAATCTCAACCCAACCCAACCCAAGCAAAACTACAACCCAACCCAACTCAAACCATGCGGGTTGGGTTGGTCGGGTTGAAACCAGGGGCAGACCCAATTTCTTTTTCGAAGGGTGGCACCATTTGACTAAGAAACAAATATAGGGTATTTTTCACAAAATCATTATTGGGCTGTTGGTTAGTTCACATTGCTTTTCATACGTGAGGTCTTGTGTTCAAGTCTCTTATTGCAATCTTTTTTTCCAGAAACATAATAAATATGAAATTAAAAGCTAAAAACTAAGAAAATGATACCAACGGGATTCGAACTCGGGTCTAGGGTGGAAGAAAAGCCTTTCAAACCAACTCTACCAAGGAAAATTGTGTCTTCATTGTAGTTTCAAAATATATACGGTGGCACACAACAAATTGATACGGTGGCACTTTACACCACCCTATAATTTTTTACACTGGTGTCATGGGCCACCGTATGCTCTACATTGGGTCCGTCCCTGGTTGAAACTTTGGTGCATCGTTTTACAATCTAGTTAATGTTTATGTTTACATGAAATAAAATCAAAATGGTAACATAGAAAAAGGGATAACAAACTCAAAAATGAAAGTTGAAGGTTCATGTAAATAAAAAAGTAAAATTACGGTTGAAATTGTAATATAATTTTGAATATAGCTAATTATGGATTGGTATAATGTCTAATGTACATATGTTAATCAAGGGCTTTAGAATCATCTTAAATCCATAATATAGAAAGGCATCTGGTTCATCTGCTTAGGTTGGTTGGGTTCAAATGACCCTAACCCAATTCCAACCTAACAGATGTGGGTAAGCCTAATTTTGTAACTATGTGTCGGGTTACCTTGGGTTGAGTTTTTTCGGGATGGGTTGGCCGGGTTGGTCGATATTTTGAGCACCCCTAATTATGAATATTTTATCACGTTATCCATCATGGATACTCACAAAAAGGTGGTTCTTGAATTCCTAAAATATATAAGGTTCCTAAACGAGTCCCTCCCTATTCCATCTTAAACTCATTTTTCACCCTACCAAAATGAACTGTAGAATCTTTTTCACAATAAGATACTCGAAAGCATCTCAGCTAGTGAGAGAGATGCATTGACCAGTAATCTGACTGGAATTTGGTTCCTGCAGGCACATGAATTTTCCAATGCCTGAAACAATGAACTGGGATTTACGAGACCTGTCATCATCTCAAGTATGAGTGCTTTGTTAATGATCTTAGAAGTTTTAGGCTTTTAAATAGACCGAGTTACAATCACCGTTTTATTTGTGCTTAATACTTGCTTCTAAAGATGATCTGGGAAATTTATGAGCGTTGTGTATGATTGATTTGCTTTTTTATGAATTTGGTATGTGATACTTTTTGTTTTAGTTCTAGCTCTTCAACTTGCCGGGCCAATTAGTAGTTAAAGCATATGGATATGGTTATATTTGATTAAAACTTCCCTAGTTTTTATTGGTCTTCAAATCCTATCCAATTTATCAATCAGGTCAATTTATCAAACAAGAGTTCTGAGTTTGAGTTCATGCCTATAGCTGAAATCAGAGTATAATAGTAACAAGAATTCTCCTTTTCCCAGATGCAATTGATGGATCGTGAATTCGTGATACATTGTGCTGTTTGTAGAGGTGGGCTCCGGTCATCATGCTAATTGCAAGGAACTTTACTCGGACCAAACATTATGCATTTAATGATTCCCGACACCATTTTGAAATTTTGATTGCTTGTTGAACCCTGTGTGAAAGTAGGATACTCCAAACTCAAAGTTGCTATAACTTAATTTAAAACGACTTGTTGCATATTGTTCACGTAGGATGTCCACATGAAACGACTCACGCTAGAGTATTGTAGTAACATGAAATTCTCCTTTTCCCCAGATGAATTTGATGGAACGTGATACATTTTGCCGTTTCTTGAGGTGGGCTTGCTTTCATCATGCTCAAATAAGACGGAACTCTACTCAGATTATCTTTTATACATTTTCACAATGTTAATAAGGAAGTAAAAACCATTTAGATAGATACATATTTTGCATCATGATTGCAATTAGTTTGGTAGAAATCGAAGCTCCTATCCGTATCTGATATGGGTTCTTTTTGTTTGAACTAGAGCTGGGTTTATCGGTTCCAAGGTGACTTGTTAGCGGAAATTTGGACTGAGAAACGTTACCTCATTGAACGAGAAAGCAGGTTCTGTAATTCATCCCGATTATTTTGTAATTCATAAAAGATGCTTGAACCTCTAGAAAACAGCTTGGTTCTCAGTAGCACAAAAAAAAATTCAATTCGAGTGTTTATTTTAGTGTTTTTCACATACACTGTTTCAAAAGTTGGGGTCTTCATGGAAACAACTACATCTACTATTTGGAGTACACCCCAACCCCTAGATTCTACCTTCAAGTGGGATATACGGGATTAATTTGGTTTGCTTGGCATTTTTGTTTACATTTACTCATGTTGACATTCTTTCTTTTGGTTTTTGGTTTGATATCCTTTTCTCATGCCTCCAACACTCTACTTTCGACTTTCGAGTGAGATTTACTGGGTTTGTTTGGTTTGGATGTCGGGTTTATTTGGCCCATGAAAGTGGGAATTACGGGGGCTGTCAGGTTTGGAAGTAGGATTTATTAGGGCTGTTTGGATTTCCAGGGGCAATCGCATTGTTTCTCCTAGAATGTCATGTCATTACCTGTATTAGAACACAAGTTCAAATAGAGTAAGGGGCCGTTTATGAAACGCTTACTCGGGTAAGCGCTTACCATGTCACATTTCCTCACTGGATGAACATGGTAAGGACCAAAAATCTTACCCGGTAAGAGCAAGACAATTATCAAGAGTCTTACCCGGTAAGTGAGGGCGACGATTCTTACCACGGTAAGCACTTACCGGGAAAATTGTTGCATTCGATGTCGTTTTGGTGGACCAAAATCTTATCCGGTAAGTAAACAATAGTGTTAAATTTTATTGGTAAACACTTACCAGGTAAGTATTTGGTAAACGACTCTTAAGACTCCAAACCATCCAACATTGGTTTTAGATGTGGTTTATGTCCTTTTATAAGCTCTTGTTAACATGCTACATTGCTAGTAATGACTTGCCATAATGTTAACCAGTTGAGTTGATTAGCAGGTTGTTTGGGATCGACTCGAGAAAATAATACCCGACTCTAGTTCGAATATTTTAAAATAGTGCTCGTGCTTGAATACTTTTTCAATGTTTGAGCTCAAGCTTAATGCTTTTCTAATAGTTTTGAGCTACAAATTATTGACCTAAATATCAAATCTTATAAGCTCGTTTATGGGTTTAAACTCGAGATCAGCTAATTTGTTAATTGGCTTAGGTTTGAAAAACTTGATTAAGAGCCGTTTACCAAACGCTTACCGGGTAAGCGCTTATCAAGTCACACTATCTCACCGGATCAATATGGTAGAATCTTACGTGGTAAGTGCGAGACAAGGACTAAGAGTCTTACTCGGTAAGTGAGATCAACGACTCTTACCACGGTAAACGCTAACCGGGTAAATTGTTGCATACGATGTCGTTTTGGTGGACAAAAATCTTACCTGTTAAGTAAAAGATAATGTTAAATTTTACCGGTAAACACTTACTAGTCCCTAACTTGTTTATTGATTAGTGCTAGTAGCAACTAGTTTTAATCTATATATTTTGATTGTATGATCTAGGAACATTTGAATATGTTTGGTTTGAAAAAATATATGTGCAGCCTGATTCGACTCGAAAATTTATTCGATCTCTCAAACGAGTCGAGCCGAACGTTGATTTATTTTGGGGCGATTTTTGGTATATTTTTGCTCAATTTTTGTATGCATCTATCTATGCTTTTAGGTACAAGATTTATATGTTTTTTAAAGACTCGTGGAAATGTTATTTATTAGTTTTGTTCTATAAATGTAATGATTATTTTACTCTTTTCGTTGTTTTACTATATTACATAGTTTTATAGGTCATAAGAATATATGCCAACAGTTTTCTAATATTTAAGGAAGATGGGAATCAAAATCAATGAAATTTTGTTTGATCTTCACTGGAAACTTGAATAAGGAGTAGATTTTTTTGGAGTTTTCTAGAATTTGTTTGAAAACTTGTTCATACTCCGCCTATAAATGGGCCGGGCTTTTCCACGGGATTAAGGGCATAATAGTTTTTTTTTAAATATTTTTAAGAAAACAAAACTTGTATAAAATCACAAGTTATGTAAAATAATTTAAAATAAAGGGCAAAATGCACAAAATATAAATCTACTTTCACAAATTTCTTTATTATGACATTGTACTTTCAATTTTTCTTATTACAGCAATGTACTTTCAAACTATTTTTTATTAGGACATTGTATTTTGAAAAATTTACCCATTATAGCATTGGGTAACCTTTTAATTTAAATTTACCTATTATATCAGGTTTCCATTGTCCACGTAGGCTGTTCACATGTACTATAGTGATGTGACTTTCTTACTATATCATTGTACTTTCAAAATTATTTTATTATAACATTTACTAGTTCTTATTAAACACTGTATTTTTTATTTTGATATTTAGATATTTTACATGTTATTTAATAAATATATTAAATGAATTAAAAAAATTCTAAATTATTCATTAATATACGAGTACCAATAAAACTAGTAGAACACAATTTATCTCGCTAATACTTAAAAAAATATGTATTTTTTGAAAAAAGAAAATTAGAATTGTTCATTTTTTACCAAAAAATTATTATGTTTAAAAGAATATATTGTATTTATTCAAAAAATTTATTTGACGTATAAATATATTAAATTAATTATATATTTTTTGAATTATTTATTAATATAACAATATTAAAAAATTGTATATCACAATTTATTTTCTTAACATTTTAGAGAGAACTTTAAAAGATATGTATTTATTTGAACAACATAAAATAAGAATTGTTACATTTTTTACAAACAAATATATATCTCGAAAATAATATTTCATATTTATTTAATAAATATTTTACTCTATAATATTTAATTTGTATGTAACTTGACAAAAAAAAGTAAAAAAAAGTTAAATGTTTTTTTAGATCGTAGCAATGAAAAATGAAAATCACTAATAATAATTTAAAATGTTTTTATTTTTATTTTAGTTAAGTTATTAAAATGATGTGTCATCCACATCACTTCATTAAAGCCACACAATCAAAAAAAAGTCAAAGGGTTAACCGGTTTAAAAGGTAACAGGTTACCCATTGCTATTATATGTAAACAAATTAAAGTACGATGTCTTAATAAAAAAATAATTTGAAAATACATTGCTGTAATAAATAAAAACAAAAGTAGAATGCTATAATAAGAAAACTTATGAAAGTAGGTTGTTATTTTATGCATTTAACCCTAAAATAAATAACAGTTTTTCCAACTTAAAATTAAATATAAATACATAATACTGTACATAATCTAGAAAAAAGTTTCTCAAATGATGGAGTATTGATAAAGAAAATGACCAAATGAGATAACAAGAAATTGATCAATTAAGGTAATTATTTTTTTACTCTTTAAATTTTTAAAGAGTGTTATTATCAACGACCGTCATGAATCATAATAAAGTGAGAATAGTAAATAATAATAATTTTCAATTTAAAAAAAAATGTTAATCATAATAAAAATATTAACGGACTGAACATGCCTGTCTAGAAAAAAGTTCTCGTCACTCATTTTCGTTCATTAATTTTAACAAGTTAAGTCGAGCCTGTTCATTTCTTTGAAAATGTTAATCCAAACCGACCTTTTCTAATAAGACGGTGAGGACAAATCTAAGAGTAAATGGTTATTTGTTTATCTTTTAATAGTTTCATTAATAGGTAGCATCTGAATCGTTAAAAGATAAATCTTATTTGGCAAAATAAAATCTCTCTTAATGAATTTAAAACCCCCTGAAAAATTTTGTATCCTAAGACTCCCTTAACCCTTCAGTGCCCTAATTTCGTTGTAAATAATTACCAAACAATTATATTTCATTTTGTACTATATCATGAGAGTCTCTTAATCATTCTGACCAATTAATCATTCAAATTTTCAAATAAATTCTTAAGCAAACTTTGCTTCTAGTACTCGATCCAACTTAAACCAGCCTCTTTTCTTACCTTATTGTCACTCATCATCTTCCTCCTTGCTCCTACATCTTCCCACTTTCCGAATTGTGCGTAAATGTTCGATATCATAACGTGAACGAACTCTCCATCGCCTTCGAGCTCGATCACCTTGCTCGCCGCGGTTTCCGCCACCTCGATATCCCCACAAACACCACAAGCAGCCAGCAATGCCCGCCAAACGCCGGCACACGACTCAAATCCTAGCCGCTTTATCATCCCTTCCGCCCTCCGAACCTCCCCTTCGTGACCCATAAGCCTGATGATGCAAGAACAATGCTCGACCGTTGGATCTATCTTGTAATCACATATCATTGATTCAAAGTATCGGTTCGCGACTTCTAATGGCATCTTATTATGCCAGCAAGCCGATAGCACGTTCAGAAACGTGATCCCATCTGGTTGTAGATCTTTCGCGTGTTTCAATTGTTTGAAAACTTGGATCACTTTCGTGAAATTCTCGTTGTGGGCGTACCCGGAGATCATGGCGTTCCAAGTCACGAGATTTTTACCGGGTAGCGATTCGAACAAGAATTCGGCCGTGTTAACCTGCCCGGATTTTGAGTACATATCGATCAAACTGCTGCCGATGACTACCGATTCATCCAAACCGGACTTAACCACACAACAATGGATCAAAGTCCCCCATGTGAGCGCTCCAAGGCGTGCAATTCCGCTTAAAATGCTCGAAAACGTGAACTCGTCCATTCGTATGTCGCTTGAGTGCATCTTATTAAAGAATTCGAGGGCGTTTCTGGGACGGTTTCGATTCACGTACCCTGTTAGAATCGAATTCCATGAAGATGAATTCGGGTTTGGCATTGTCGATAGAATCTCGATAGCTTGTTCCATGTTTCCAAACTGTGCAATTCCGTTGATCATCTCGTTGTAGGATACTGTATCGGGGTTTGGCATTCGATTCAAGAAACCGAAAGCAAGTTCGATTCTTTGATTTCTAACACTTGCACCGATCACCGAATTCCAAGAAAACGTATCCTTGAACCACATTTCATCAAAAATCTTGATCGCATCTTCAATATGATCGCACTTTCCGTACATATCTATCAAACAATTAGATACGAAAGTACTACATTCGACACCAAATCTAACGATACGAGAATGAACCGCCTTGCCGAATCGTATCAAACTTAGCTGCCCACAAACCGATAGAACAGATGTAAACGAGTACGAATCCGAACGAATTCTCGATCTTTCTAGCTCAAGAAACAGATTCAAAGCCTTACGAAACTTCCCTGAACGAACGTACCCGGAGATCAACGAGTTCCAAGCAACTAAACCTGGTTCAGGAATTTCATCAAACAGTTTATGGGCATCTTTTAGCATATCCAATTTAACGTACAAATCGATGAGAGCAGATGAGACAAATCCATTGAAAGTGGACCCAGATCTTAAAGCGTAGCAATGAATCTGTTGGCCATGATTACAGAGACCCAAGTTCCTACATTCTTGAATCTTGTAAACCAAATCGTACCCATTGGGGTTTTCACCATTGTTGGCCATCTCACTGTTGTCGCCATCTTCGTACAGGTCTGAAGTTTCTTTAAAACAAGATTTGGAGTTGTGTATTTGGGCAGATTCAGTGCCTGCGATGAAGTGTTTCTGCAAGAAGAAAAGGTATTGGATATGGCTATAATTTGGTAAATATGTTCTTGTTATTTGAGCAAAGACTTTCTTCATAAATCCCTGTATTCATGAACAAAGTTTTTTGTTGTTCATCGTTTCCGTGTACTATTGATCATTTACGGGTTTGTTTGGTAGTTAATGAATTGTTTGATATAAAATGATTAAAAAACTTTTATAATATAGTATAAAATAAAATATAATTATTTACAATGAAATTAGGGCGTTGAATGGTTAAGAGAGGCTCAGAATGCAAAATCATTTGTTTGACAGATGCTGAATGGTTTGATGTTGAATGATTTGGTGGTCAGAATGTTTAAGAGACTCTCATAATATATTGCGAAATTAAATATAATTGTTTACAATGGAATTAGGGTGTTGAATGGTTAAGAGAGACATATGATACAAAATCATTCAGAGGGTTTTACAACTATTAAGAGACAGACTGTTTTTTTTGACAAACAAGATTCACTTTTTAGCGATTCAGAGACTGACTCTTAATAAAACTAGTAAGAGGTAACAAACGACCCCTTAAATTGTTGAAAAATTGTTATATTTATAATAAAGTTTTGAGTAAACTACAAATGTGGTTTCAATGGTATGTCGGAAATAATAATTTTCCTCTTACAGTTTTGAAATTATAAGATGGATGTGATTCATAAAAACGTCCGGATTTGATTCCTTCCTCTAAGTGCAACTCCAACCGTCCGTCAAAATCTCTCTTTTACCGTCGTCTTCTCTGCAAGCTTACGGTAAAGATATATTTTTTACCAGTATAAATAAACACACTGCAAATATGCCATTTGAAAGTATCACACGGTAAACCACATCCCCACCGTTCTTCTAGAGCATGGTTGAAAATGAGATATTTTTTAGTGTTTTTTTTTTAAGTATATAATATTTATATACGAGAAATGCAATAAATAAACTCACACACTCTTCTCATCTATGGTGAGGTTTGAACCCCTGACCTCCTAGAAGGTCAAGGGCTACGATACCGCTAGGCTAAAGACTTTTTGGTTATTTTTTAGTGTTTGAGGACCCCATATTTTTGGTGTTATATTTAGAGATGGTCTAACAATCGTTAAATGAGGAGCATTTTGTCTCTTTATTTTTTTGTTCTTTTAACCAGTTAAAATCGTTTATATGATTTTGGTTCTTGTAGTTTTTGGTTGGAAAAATGACCAAAAATTTGATAAAAGAATGAACATGTCCCTCATTTGATTGAATTTTTAACGTTCGTTAGAGGGAGGGATCAAATTTGAATGTTTTTGCAAACCATGATGACCATCTAGTAATTTTAAAACTGAAAAGACGAAAAATATTGTTTTTGACAAACCATAGTGACCGAATTTGTAGTTTACTCTAAAGTTTTCATTTAAAAAGAGGAAAATTGCATAAAAAGTAAGGTGCTTTAATTTAATTTTTATTTTAGGTAACGTACTCTCGAAACTTTTATTTTGGTACCTAAGATGTAAAGTTTTAAAATTTAATTATCTGGGTAATCGGTTACCATGCTGATTTCGCGAGTGATGTGGTATCCGGTTAATGCTTCAACAAATAATATTGAGTGTGGTATCACATTACTCGCCATATCAACATGATAACCAGTTAATACTTCAACTGATTATCTGAGTATTTAAATGTTTAAAATTTTACATTTTAGGTACCAAAATGAAAGTTTTGAAAATAAGTTATCCAAAATAAAAATCAAGTTAAAGTACGTTACGTTTTTATGCAATTTATCCTTTAAAAACCGATTTGACATCCATTTTTGTTAGAGACACTCTGATACAATTATATATTTTTAACAGAATTAACTCAAAAGATTAAATTTGTATGGATTTACAAACCATGGGGACCATAAGTGTAATAAACAAACAATAAGAAAGATATTTGTAACTTTTACAAACCATAAAAGAATTCATATACATCCATATCTATATTTCTATCTCTGTCTCTATATTTAGTAGAAGTTTATTTTACAAACCATGTTATTTATATAAATCTCATTTAATCAATCATATAATTTTTTATTTTATTCATTTTTTTGTAATTATAAAAGGTTGATCAATTATTTTTATTATAGAGATTGTTAATCATAAATATTATCATATTCTTTATATTAATTTTAGAGAAATACATAAAACAGTTTCATTAAAATTTCATAATGATATATTAAACAACTTTATCAACATAAAATATTATATGAAACAATTTTTTAAGTTAAACAATTTCACGAAAATTTTCATAAAAATTAAACAATAAAATAGATGAACGAGGGTGGTTTGCATGCTTTATACAAATATGAGTGGTTTGCATTTGATCCCTCCACTCTATATCTATATCTATATCTATATCTATATCTATATCATCATTGAAGACATTTTTGAATAAAACTGTGATCATTCATCGAACCAGAAGAATTGGAGACAAGAGAGAAGGGTTTCTAATCTCATTTTTCATCAGAATTCAATCTTATAATCAAACCATTTATCGATCAACATGAATTCTTGAAGATGACGATCGCACCATCGTTTCAAACCCCGAACCGCTCATCGAAATTCAAACGACACGAAATCTAGAATTCAAGAAGGGTCTCACCATGATCAACATTCCATCAAACCCGAAGAATTCAACAAGGGTTTTCGATCTAATTTCTCATTCATAATGTTTTAAAACCCCAACCCGTTGATGATCATGACATGGAGGCAAAGCGGCGGTTCGTGGAAGATGTTGCGATAATCGGTGGATTAATCGGTGTCCAGTTTTTATACGCCGGAAACTCGGTTTTGCAGAGTTATATCATGTTTGTTGGCCTTCCTCCTACTCCTCTCATCATCTCTTCGAATTTCGTCACCTTTCTCATCCTCTCTCCTCTTGCCATCTTTTTCGAAAGGTATTCGAGCTTTTAAAACATGATTATTTACGTGTTTTTCGATCGAAAACGTCGAATTTGTAAGGTTTTTGTGATGTTTATATTGCAGGAAGTCATGGCCGAAGAGATTGAGCGTGAAATTACTGGTTCAGTTGGTTTTGATATCGTTTGCGGGGTGAGTAAATTGTGGTTTATGACAATTGATTTCGTCGTAAACGAAATCTGTTGCAAATTGCATGAAAATGTAAACTACTTTGTTCTTCTGAATTATGTTTTAAGTAACGTATTTTCAAAATTTTCTTTTTAATATATGAGATGGGATATCTGATTCAAGTATACGTGTATACGTAAGAGCATCTTCAACAACTATGTTATAATATAAGTTCAATTATCTTACCGGATGAACATAACAAAGAGCGGGAATCTTACCTGGTAAGAGAGAAGATAATGATCGAGAGTCTTACCCGATAAGTGAGGGTGATGACTCTTATTCGGTAAGCACTTACAAATTATAAACGCTTGTCATCAATCCAATGTGATGGTCGAGAATGTTACCCCATAAGGTAAATGAGAGTGATGACTCTTAACAATAAGCTCTTACCCGATAAGTGTTTGGTAAACAACTCTTAAAACAACAATAAATTACAACCATAAGAATGAAAACAATAATAAATTATAAGTAATAAAAACGAAAAAACAAATATCGTAAATAGTAATTTTCAACAAATTAATAGGGTAAAAGTGTAATTTTATATTTTACTTGAGTTCAAAATAGGAAATTGAACAAAGTACGTTACATTTTCATGTAATATAATTTTTCTCATAATCATAATTTGAGTGTGGGTATGATCAGGGTGACGTTGTTTCAATCTTTAATGTTAAAGGGGGTCGATTTAACTTCGCCATCAATGGCTACCGCGATGCCGAATCTTGCACCGGGGCTCATCTTTATCATCGCTTGGGCCTTTAGGTATCGACATGTAAATTAGAATTGAAACTTAATGAAAAGAAAATGTTGCATTTATTTTCGTGGTTCACAAAAGCTTGATTTTCAATTCCATATGCAGGTTAGAGAAAGTCGATATCAGTTGTACTTATAGTAGGGTCAAGATAGTGGGCACGTTTTTGTGCGTGCTCGGGGCCATTACGATGAGCCTTATGCAAAGCACGAAAAAGAATCCCTTCTCGGAAGACGTATTTTTACACGATCCCTTGTCTTCAAGAAGCGAACATTTTTACATTTTCAACAAGGACAGGATTATCGGTTGTTTTTATCTCGTTGCTGCTGTTATTGTTCTATCAAGTGATGTCGTCTTGCAGGTATATCGTCGTTAGAACACTAGAGATTCATATAGGCCTTGCAAAAAAAAAACTGATAAAGTTATCGCTAGTTTAATTTCATTTCTGTTAGAATATGTGGACCCCAGTTGGAAATTCTCACTAAAAAGGCACTAATAAAGAGTTAGAGAAGAATGTTATCAAATTTATATGCTTGGATCACGTGACACCAATCTGTTTTCGTGAGATACGTGAAATCACTTTGTTACACTTTTTTGCTGTGAAGGGTACCTTCACAGTGTTTTTGTTGTGAATGTTCGGTTTTTTTTTATCTTCACAGCATTTTGCTGTGAAATTTTAAGTATAAAAAAGTGGTCTCACGGATATCACGAAAACAGAGTGATCTCAATTGAACCCAACCCTAGAGAGAGAGATAGACAAAGAAATACAACTTTGATGGCATGTGTCTAGCTAATGTGAACTCCAACACCGTAACACGCCATCTCAAACAAAGGTTGGACGGGGGAAAGTCCCTAAATGACATTGTATCCGGCTCTGATACCAAGTTAAGATATGTGAAATACCCTTCAAATCTCCTTCTAAAAAGACCCTTATAGAGAGAGAAGGAATATCCCGGATATATACATAGTTGATGGTCTGTGTTTAGCTGACACTGTACTCCAACATTTATGATATAATTCCAATATTTATGATGTAATTCAGGTCGCTAAAAGATGGTTAATTTGATTTTTTGCAGGCTATAACATTAGTCGATATGCCGGCACCTATATCGTTAAGTGCAATAACATCGTTAATCGGTGTGATACTAACTGCGACACTCGAGTTTATCGAAAAACATGCGATCCCGACACCGTGGCCCATTTGGTCTTTGAAACAGCTGATTTGCTATGCTCTAATGGTATGAATCATCTTGTTTTGACTTTTGATCAGGTCAAATATGTTATATTTTCTAGTCGAAATTAATGCTTACTTTATCGAAAAATTAAAATTAGAGACCTGACCACGTAGATTTATCTTGATATATCATCGTAGTTATTATATATTTCTTCGAAAATATAAAGAATCGATGTCAAAATTGAAGTCAAACTTAGAGATTTGACCTCAAAAGTCAAATTACACCTCTTTCTGACATGCCAATGGAACTCAACGACTTTTGAGATCAAACCCATTACTATTTCTACTACAAATTGGTACTTATTTTTGCACAAAATTAAACAATATCACTTCCAGATTCTTGTTTTTTTTAACGTAGATTGACGTAATCGTAATATTTTTTCCAATATTTTGCAGAATCGACTATAATTTTGAAGTTACCTGTTTGTAGTTTGACCTTAAAAGTCAAACTGGATCATTGCTAGCTCAGGAACTGAAATTTCGAGAATAAAAACCTTTTTTTTCTCTGAGTTTTGATCGTTTTGATATCGTTCACTACAATAAAATTGGGTTTCTAAGACGTATAAATTATAATCGTTCTAATAGACTGTTCTACAAGACTTAATTTACAGGATCAAAAAATAACTCGTCATATCTAAAGACGTTGCAGTAAATTTATAAGACGTTTTTATTCGTTGTCCAAGATGGGTTTATGGACATTTTCTCAAAAATGTTTGATAAAATAGCTAATGCTATACTTTATATTAAAAATGTCCTAAAAAACATGTTACGACATACAAAAGCGTCATGTAAACTTATTACAACGTCTTTAGATGACAAGCTTTATTTTTTTGTCGTATAAAGTAGTATATTATGATGCTTAGAAATTGGTGGTGTTCTATAAACTTAATTTTGTTGTAGTGATTATTGCCAATGTGCATAAATTTTTAATATCGATTTGGAAACGAACAGGCGGGAATGATCACCGGAGTTTGTTTTAGCTTCAATGCATGGGCGATGAAGAAAAGAGGGCCTGTTTTGGTCTCGATGTTCAATCCCATTGGAACCGTCATCGCTGTTATCATCTCGTGTTTCTTAGGTCAATCTATTGCTCTTGGAAGGTACGATCGAACTACTAACGCAATAAACCGTTGTACCATGTGCATTAATAATCAAAATACACTATAAATTGTAGCCATTCGTTGTATAACTTGAAATACATACAACTACGAACGTGTATACACTTAATTACAACAAAATCTGTGTTATACGATGACAAATATGACTAAATGTCATAATACTGATTTATAGAATTTGAGTTTATAGGATAAAACGACATCATATATAAAAGTGTTACAATAAATTGATACGATACTTTTAAATGTCAATTTGTTTAGTATAATTTTGAAATAAAACATTTTGTTAGTTTTTTTATAATGATACTAACGGGTTGTTTGTTTACCTCTTAATAGTTTCATTAAAAGACATCATCCGAATCGCTAAGAGATGAATCTTGTTTGACAAAAAAAAAAATTCTCTTAATGATTCAAAAACTCTCCGAATGATTTTGTATCTTGTGCCTCCTTTAACCATTCAGCACCCTAATTTCATTTTAAATAATTGTCAAACAATTATATTTCATTTTGCACTATATTATAAAAGTCTCTTAATCATTTTGCATTAAACCATTCAGCAAGTGTCAAGTAGTTGGTTAAACACTTTATTAAGTGGTCAAAGAAATAAGGAACCAATTGTGTTGTAGTATATTGTACACTTGGTTAGTTGTACCTTTTTGTTAGGTATAACATGATATGCACACAGAAAGTCATTAAATTTGTTAGAAACTGTTATTTAATATGCAACGTGTTTACATTCAGCTTTGTCAAACGGTTTCTAACGGTTATCCGATAGTTTTGTTATCTATACAGCCTTACGGGTATGTTTATCATGTTTACGGGGTTGTATTTTGTGCTATGGGCTAAAGGAAAAGAGGGTTTCTTACAAAAAGACGAACACGCAATCCAAAGCGAGTGCCATGACGTAGAGAAGCCTCTCCTTCAATAATATCAGTGTTTTATCTGTTTATTTGTTATTTAAAAAATGTTACGATTATTGTTTTTCCGAAAACGTATTGATTAGAAAAATTAGAACCCGATTATTCAGTTAATGGTATATATGAGCGATGACAGTAGATAACGGAACTTGATTGTTATGACTACTTTTATCTAAAACGAAAGTAGAAAGGAGAATTAAATTTTCAACAAATACAGAAAGTTTTTTAGTTCGTTATTTCTACCAACATTTCAACAGCTATGTTGTTTTAGAAATTTTGGAGATTTGAGAAAAATTTGTTCTAACAGCGATGCTAAATTCTACTCTAAAAAAATGAGAGAGTATGAAGAAATCTTCACTTTAGAAAAAGAAAGAGAGAAAATACAACATATATGGAGATGCTCGAACGTAAACAATTACAATTAGGGGTGCTCAAAAACCCGATCAACCCAACCCAATACGAAATAACTCAACTCGATATCTAATTGAGTTGTAAAATTTTCAAACCATTGGTATTGAGTTGAAATTGAATTACTATTATTTAAACCCAAACCAACCCGATGAATCTGATATCCTTGTATTTCTTGGATTTAATATGATTGTTGTGGTTCTATTAATATATACATTAGACAATTACATTATCACGTACTCTCTTCATATACACATATTTTTGATATATTCTCCATCTCTATTTTTGATCTATTCTTATTTTATTTGTAAAAAGGTTAAATGAAAATAATATTATATATATCTATACTATATTATAAAGCATTTGGCTAAAACTCTTAAAAATTCTTAAACTCTTAAAAACTCTTAAACTCGTTCATCCCTAAACAATTTCATCCCTATCCGATTTCATCCCATAACTGAATTCGTGTAACTAACTGCAGATAAACACAATCAAATATAGGATAAACATCTCATTTTAAATATAAAAAATCTAAAATATAATTAAGATAATCATTGAGTTCTAACAAAGTACTTAATTATTATCTTTATAAAATGATATATTATTAAACCAAAAATAAATTATTTTATTATTAAACTTAAATTAAATTAAAAAAAATAATCTATACTATATTATAAAGCATTTGACAAAAACTCTTAAAAACTACTTTTTATACGTAAA